TGTATGGTATGTATGGTATGTATGGTATGTATGGTATGTATGGTATGTATGGTATGTATGGTATGTATGTAATGTATGTTATGTAATGTTATGTAATGTTATGTAATGTTATGTAATGTTATGTAATGTTATGTAATGTTATGTAATGTTATGTAATGTTATGTAATGTTATGTAATGTTATGTAATGTTATGTAATGTTATGTATTGTTATGTATGTATGGTATGTATGGTATGTATGGTATGTATGGTATGTATGGTATGTATGGTATGTATGGTATGTATGGTATGTATGGTATGTATGGTATGTATGGTATGTATGGTATGTATGGTATGTATGGTATGTATGTAAGTAATGTAAGTAATGTAAGTAATGTAAGTAATGTAAGTAATGTAAGTAATGTATGTATATGTATGTATATGTATGTATATGTATGTATATGTATGTATATGTATGTATATGTATGTATATGGATGTATATGTATGATGTTATAGTATGATGTATATTGGCTGATGTATATTATGTATGTATATGTATGATGTAGATGTATGTATTGTATAGTATGTATGTATTATGATGTATGTTATAGTATGTATGTATATGTATGTATGTATATGTATGTATGTATATGTATGTATGTATATGTATGTATGTATATGTATGTATGTATATGTATGTATGTATATGTATGTATGTATATGTATGTATATGTATGTATGTATGTATGTATATATATTTATGAATATATATATATATGTATGTATATATGTATAAATATATGCATTTTTTTAAAAAAATGATATATACATATATATATATACATACATACATACATACTCATTTGGTTTAAATGCTAGTTGCACCTGAGTCTTTCAAGCTGGCAAGAGTGAAGGAGATGGCTAGAAATGGTGGCCAAGGATATCCATCTACGGGTCATGCCCGGTGTTTCAAGGTAAGGCTGGTGGAATTTAAGCACAGATATTTATCCATTTTCATTTCACAGTTTAACATAAACTGACTTATTCTCCCCCGACATTTTTCCATGTAGCCTCTGATAATTTAGCATTTTGCTAGGGAAACATCACCGTTTTTTAAGTTCGGGATTTACTGTATCATCGAAGCCTTTGCAGGCCATGGCTTCATGGCTTTGAGTTCGCAAACTGGACTGTCCAGAGGGCAAAGCATGTATTGGAATTAGACCATTTCCATTTCACCTGTTTCCAATTGCCATTTGATGGTTTCCAATGGAATCGGGGTACCCTCTGGTAATGACTAACAGTTTGCTATTGAAAATAGCCCATTGATAATTGATTTACCTATTTAAAATGGTGATTTTCAATAGCTATGTAACACATTACCAGAGGGTAACTCCCAATCATCCAAGTCATGGATGACCTTTTTCGTATTGAAAGCTATGGTGACGACTGGGAATCGCCCATTTTCTCCTCCCGGCAGGTCTAAGGACCTTCTCAACTGCCTTGTTGCTTGCAGACCAAGCCTCAGTATTTGCAGTTCTTGGAAGCAATCTTTTGAATAGCTTGATAGCAACCCTCAAATGGGGTTTCCGTAGTCATGGGAGATCCCCAATAGCCCCAATAGCTGCTTGGTTTATTTCATGGAAAATCCGAGAATAACATTGATAACTAGGGGTACCCCCATGACCCAGGAAACCTCCAAATAGACAGACCTGGATCCTGGATATGAAAAGGAGGAACCATGCTTGATGGGATTCAATGACTGGATCCAAGTCAAAGTTCCTCACCGCTGTTGCATCCCGGCCAACATGCTTGAAGTTTGAAGCCAGTGACATTTTCGGGTGAAGAAAACCTGATTTTTTACTGGCCTCTCCCATGAAAAAACCTGGGATTCTCCAATGTTTGGGTGAAATCTTCCAATTTTTCCAGGTCCAAATTCTGCGCTAAGCTAAGGCTGCCCGTCAGCCTGGCAGATGGCTTCCGGGTCGGATGGATCCCATCCCCGCCGCCCGGCAGCCCAGGCACAGGGCGGAGATTTCTTGGAGAAGTGCAACGCATCTGGAAATATGAGGTAAATATATGTAAATATCATATCATATATATATATATAGATAGATAGATATATAGATATATATAGATATAGATATATAGATATAGATATGTAGATATATAGATATATAGATATATAGATATATACGTGCTTTCGGCATTTTTGTGGGTCAGTTTTGTCGTCAGCTTGGAGTAGATTGCTGGCAGCACAGCGCGATAGCGGCCCAACAAAAATGACTTGGTCCTTGGTTTAAGGGGGATATAACTATGGCTCAAGGTAGATATATGGGGGATATAACTCTAGCAACTATGGCTAATTAGGGTTTATGGTAGATATAACTATAGTTCATGGGCTACAACAACTGGGGGGGTCGCACCTTGGAAGCGTCGCTGAGGTCGTCTCTAGAAGTACCAGCCCAGGCTTGCGATCTCTGGGATCTGAGGATTGCTGGTCTCCCAAAGAACTCGGCGTCTCGATGGGGACCATCATCGACATACCGTTTTTGGGGATTTAACATAGCTATTGAAAATGGCATTTTTTAATGGGAAAATCAACTATAAATGGCCATTTTCAATAGCTATGTTAAATTACCAGAGGGTACGTTTTTGGGGATTTTCCAGCAAGACATGCGTGAAAATATCCAGAGGGTAAAGACCATGTTTGGACAGATTCCCCAGAGGGGGCTTTTGGACATAGCACATGCTCAGTTGGTTCTGGCCGATAAAAAAGGTCACCGGTCAAACGAAGAATGTGGAGCTAGATGAGTGGATTCTATGCTTCAAATACAACACCTCGAGTTGGTCCCTTTTCGTTGGTTTTTCATCTCCATGTTTTCAACGCCCGTATTTACGTTGTCAAGTCTCAGTGTGGGCTTCTGATTGGTCAAATCCCCCTATGGGGGTGAGATTCAGGCTGTATCCACATGTCCAACATTTCCCAATGATCGTTCCAACCTTTTCCAACACATGCACCCTACGCAGAAACCAAAACGAAAACGCTGCCAGAGTGCCAGGTTCAACCCTCGACTCCTCCACTAGCGGGAGCTTAGGTGCCTCGGTGCCTATGGGCTTTATCTCCCCAATTGGATGGGAATTCGGAATTCCTACATAAATGATGTGGATGAATATGGTATAAAGATGTATAAAGTATCAATGGGATATATAGAATATAGTAGTTATATGTAGTTATGTATCAATGAGGAAAATATATGGGGGTTTCCATAGTCATGGGTGTACCCCAAGCTCGCTGGAGGGTTTCATGGAAAATCGATGATTGCTAGGGAAACCTCTGGGAATCCCAACGAGACGACGCTCAGGCGGCTTTTCGAACCTCAGTGACGCTTGGCTGTGGTTTTTGGTGGGCCCGGTGTTGTCTCCAGCCA